ATCTATACAGAGATTTAAAACTAGGTTTCTGACATGCAAACCAAACATTACTCACTGTAACAAATTTACTCCATAGCACAATTTCTTCTGATACCTTTTAAATCAATTCATTGCATTGCTTTTACTGCCACAGTATGTAAATCAAAATATCATACTAGTCCTACATCAGATTTTAATTACATAATGGAATTTTTCAATGATTTTTCTTTTCTTTTCTTCCCCAGTAGTGATGTCACTAATGAAAATGAAAATATACAGCATGAAAGTAATGAGAACGATGACCCTCTATCCAATTCTGATGACGACACAGGGATAGTACCACTTAATCTTTCCAAGAAGCCAGATGCAAATGTTGTTAATGACCATATGTACAAAAATGGTCTCCATGTGGAAAACCAAAACTTTATGGAACTTCAGGAAATGCCTCTGAATCTCTCCGTAAAAGACAACTGCAACATAAAACAACCCCTCCAGAGGTCATCATATGAAGCTGAAGACAGTGGACCTCAAAAAACTGAAAATGGACATTTGGAAGCTGAGGACTGCAGCCCTAAGGATCATATGGAGAAAGGTTCTTGTGACAAGGTCCCTACCGTGATGCAGAGGAAAGAAGTTCAGGAAGTTAGGACAATTGACCATTGTGATGAGCAGAAACAAACTGCAGCTGTTGCTCTTTGTCAGTTAGCTGCCTATAGTCCTAGTAAAGTCCAAATAGAGACTGCACAGAAAAGTAATCAGGACAGCAATTCTCAGTATACAGATTCAGCTCCTGAACCATCAGATACTCAGGACTGTCACAGTAGTCAAAAAGGAAAAGGACAAAAAAGGACCAATCAAAGACAAGTGGCAAAACTGCAACAAGGAACAAAGCGAGTACAGACAAATGACTGCAGTAGGGTATTTACTCTGAGAAAAAGAACCAGAGTATCGTAATACTTCACGTTTAATCCACTACCAACTACATACAAGAGCAGTTGACAAGCACGCTGTCCACCAGGAAGCAAAGACAAGTTTCCAGTAACAATTCCTATTTTTCCAATCAGGCAGACTCATTTGATCCATATCGGTTGAAACATGTAAATATAAACTGTTCTTAATTTTGTATTTATGTTTTAAAGCATCCTGAATATTTTCTGACTGTATCCTGATTTTTTGAGTGAACGTTTAAAAGTAAACTGAAGCTAATTATATGTTTCTAAAATGCACTATGGTGGAATGACTTTTACATCCACCTTTATTACCAAAGGTGTAAACTATAAAATTAAGAATATCTTATCCATGACATTGGCGTATCATATGTTGCTTGTGACTCACATAATGTTCTCAAATCTTTTTAGTTTAGTTTTTGTTATTCAACATGCTTTTGTTGATTATTCTATAATTTAACTAATTGTGACAATTTCCATTTGCTTTTAAAGCTTAGTAGTTGCTGAATTCTGGACCTGGAAGTCTTCATATTAATTCTTGCTAACATACAGATTTGCGTCAGTTTTATCCAAAATCAAACAGCACAAAGCAAAGATGCCATCCATGAATCAAAATCTAAACTGTGCTGTCATGTCTTTTTATAATCCTACTGTAAATCCTTCTTAATCTAGTGTGTAGAAATGTGTGAAGCAATGTTGGACAGCACTAATACACTATCCTAAAACTCATTTGTCAGTTTAGCAATACCTACAATAGTTTGATTTCACTGATGTTACAGATAACATTATCCGTGGACAGATAACATTATTTGTGAAGAACAAGTGGGGTTCAAAGGAGGACACTGTACCATTGATCAACATTCTACTCTGAAACATACTAAAAAAAAATACACTAAGAATATTATGAATAATCTTTATGAAGCCTTTATTGATCTTTCTGCTGCATTCAACTCTATTAATTGAAATAGACTGTGGGAGAAATTTCAAATTTCCAATATTGACTGCAGACTTCTGCTATTCATCCAAGAACTATAAAGCAGCACAAAAATGAGGGTCAGAGTAGGTTTAAATGGTGCTATGCCTTCAAAACATTGCAGGGAGTCAAGCAAGGTTGTATTCTGGCTCCCGATCTTTTTAGCTATTATATTAATGATCTGGTACCATATTTAACCAGTAAAAACTGCCCCTCTTCAGTAATTAGGAACAGAAATATCTCAATCATGATGTATGCAGATGATTTAGTGCTCTTCTCCCTTTCCTGATTGAGCCTCAAAATTCTCTTGCAGGTGTTCAGAACATACTGCAAACAAGAAAGTCTATTTATAAGAAAGCCTATCTATAAATTACTCTAAGACAAGATTATGATTCTTGGCTAATAGAGTCCTAGGTATAAATGATATTTAGATCTGCCAGCTATAGAACAAACTTACTCATTAAGAGTGTACTCTTTAGTGAAGCCCTCTTTTGGAAATGTCTTCTTGGAGGCAGAAAAATATTGGGTCATTGATGAAGTTCTGTTACGACAAGGGAGAGCAGCTGATTGAAGCTGCCCTAAAGATATTTAGTAGCAAAGTTTTTACTCAAATGCTCTATGGCATTGAAATCTGGGGCTCTGATTCAAACTCCATTAAAGCTTTGGAAACAGTGCAGAATACGGTATATTTTTTTCAGAAGCTATACACTCTAGCATCAGAAATATCAGCAGCTGTTCTTCATACCAAACTCAGGTAGCCAACAATCAAGGCAAGAGCAGATTGCGCTCAACTGTAGCATTTTCCTGCTCTGTTCTGTTATGGAATTGGGTGATAACCAACACTGGAAAGCAGCCTGTCAAGTCTACTTTCCAGAACTGGGCTCTGTGCTGACCCTGAATAAGAGCTAACTAAAGGATTAGCTCCTCTGCACAGAATCTAGAAGGCACCTGCAACTAATTAGAAACACCAGATTCCACCCCCCACCCCCCGGTATCCACTCCTGAGAACAGAGCACCAAACTCTCACCAGTTTCCTTAAGAGAAGCCTATATTGAGCTGTGTTTCCAAGTCATGTTTCCTGTATGCAGATTTCATATCTGTGGTCAACCTCAGGTGGGAGACATCACTCATTATCTGTTAGCCTGCCCCTTATACAGAAACCAAAGAGATCGCTTTCTGAAACCTTTGTTTACACAAGCAACGGGGAACATTGCGGCAGAAATGGTTTGGCTTCTTTCGAGTGAGAATAATAGCTTTCTAACACAGAGAGTGTTAGAGTGCACAGAGAGTGCAACACTGGCTGCAAAACAAATCAGGAAAAAAGTTAGATAAAATAGCTACATGTTGTGCTGATTCGGAGGTTTAAACTGAAATCAAGCTAGATTTAAGCTTGTTGGTGTCTCTGGTATCTGCTTTCTCTCTCTTACAACACAGATGTTGACATATTATGGATATATGTTCTGTATTGTTTTAGTAATACTATTGCTACAAGTTTGTTATGGCCTTTGGCTAGAACAGTAAGCTTATGAACTAGAATTGATGTTACTGGCATTACAGCATTGCAACTGAACTGTCATATTAATTAATTAATTAATTAATTAATTAATTAATTAATTAATTAGCTATTTGTACCTCACTCATATGACTGGGATGCCATGCAGCCTTTGCACATCTTTAACAAACGGATTACTTAAACCACACCTTAAATTAAACTAATTCAAATCTTGAGGTTGGGATTTTCAAAGGAGTTTGAAATGACAGAGGTGGAGTGATGCTCCCACACAAATGCTTTCATTTCCTTAGACACCAAGCACCTGCTGAACACAAGACCAAGGGGATATTTATTTTAGTTCATATAAGAAAGTACACTGTGGTGAAGGAGTTATTTCTGTACTTTGCATCCATACTAATTTGTAAGCAATGAAATAATGGCATGCTAAGCGGGGGGGGGGGGGAGGGGGGCTGTTTTGCAAACCAGGTGAGAGCAATTTTCTATTTCATGAGTTTTACCATGACAACTTTTCTAATCTTGCAGTAAAATGCTTTGTATTATACTTGCAAATTAAAATAAAAGTGTTTACATCGCCTTTGTTTTACTATGTGTTTTGTGATCAAAAACAAAATCCAAAACAAGACTACAAAAAAGAAAGCTTACATTTGTTCAAGTATAGAAATATTGCACATCTTCTTGTAGTTTATTGCACATTCTTATACACACAAACACACATTTTCAAAATTTATTTAGTCATTGAAAAGGCCCTCTTGCACATTCTCACTAAACTGACATCTAACTTCACAGGACACAGAGTCCACTTGCAGATTTAAATAACCAGGCAGTTCGTATTGGAGCAGACATCCTTCAGGTATCCTGGTCCAAAGCCAATGAGGGCTATGAAGGTCAATACCAGCATTTGAATTGGGTTTGGAAACCAACTGGTATCTAATGTAACTGTTGTTAGCAAGGGAACCACATGCTCCTTATACACTGCTCACTGTGGACTAACCGCCTTTTTCAAATACATTCCAAAGGAAGCACTCACAAAGAATACTGCAGCGTATCAAAGGCATTGCTGGCGGGGGGGGGGGGGAGGTAACAGACTCTGGCAATACTAGAATATGGGAGAAGGAAACAAGATCCAAAACCCTTGCAGGATGCACGTTTGCGACCCGCAGCATTCGCAACCCGCAGTGGTGCGTCTGCACACGCGCAGGTTGCGATTCAGCGCTTCTGCGCATAGCACGATTTAGCATTTCTACGCATGCGCAACCCCCGAAACCTGGAAGTAACCCGTTTGGGTCCATAACCCGAAAAAACACAACCTGAAGCGTCTGTAACCCGAGGTATGACTGTAATCCTGTGAAATAGCAGGAGATAAAAGCAAAGTCAGCAATATAAGGGGGGGAGGGGAGAAAGATACTAAGGAAAGAAAAATATACTTGCTAGTCTGTAAGAAATTCTCAAGACCAGAAGCTGACAAAAGTCTATCAAATCTTTCATGCATTTGATTGTGCTTATTACCTTGTATTGTACAAGTCATCTATTTTGTTTTGCTTTTGTTAAGCAGTATAGATAGGACCTAGTTAAATGACAAGATACTTACCATCTGAGAGCCGGGAGGGAAGTAACAACCCTCTTCTTCCTAATTCCGCCAGAGCCAAACATCCACCATGCCAAGCATTATCAGTTTCCTGGAAACTATAATTTTAGAAAACGTAAGGATTGCATTCAAACTAATTTTTCTGAATTTAAAAAGATGATATATTATTGTCTGAAAGCTGGTTGTACACAGTAATTGCATGCTTTCAAAAGCATGACAATAGCAACTAAATATTTCAGGCATCAAACAGTAACAGTAATATATTAAATTTTCCCCTAACTGCAAAACAATTTCTCCCAAACTGTTTCTTTTGACCCCCCGTTTTAAAAATGTGCAACTCAAGCCTAAGCACTTTTATACTGAGAAATAATCCCCATTATGTTCAATGGGTAAAGGTAAAGGGACCCCTGACCGTTAGGTCCAGTCGCGGACGACTCTGGGGTTGCGGCACTCATCTTGCTTTACTGGCCTAGGGAGCCAGCGCACAACTTCCGGGTCATGTGGCCAGCATGACTAAGCCGCTTCTGGCGAAACCAGAGCAGCGCATGGAAACGCCATTTACCCTCCCGCCGGAGCGGTACCTATTTAACTACTTGCACTTCGTGCTTTTGAACTGCTAGGCTGGCAGGAGCAGGGACTGAGAAACAGGAGCACACCCCATTGCGGGGATTTGAACCGCCGACCTTCTGATCGGCAAGCCCTAGGCACAACCCTTTCAATGGGACTTTCAACTAAAATTAATATTCAAGGGATAGCAAACTTATTTATTTAATATATTTTATTTATTTATGCAATTTTTAAACATCAGAAACCAATGTAAAGGATATTCTTATTTCCATTCTTCATGCCCATGTTTGTTTTTTTAAAGCTAGTGTTTTCAATGAGAGTTTCCACTCCTTAACTCATATACATCTGCTATAATTGTTGTATCCATATCCTCCTTACTACACCAGAGCTAGATGTAGTTCACTGCAGTTTGCATGGTATTTGGAAAACATTCTACACAATGTAAAGTGGTACCTGAAGCAATCTAAGACAGATCCAACTACATCATCAGCCAGCTCTTTTGGTAGCCTTCCAGTCAGTCTCCCGATCCTGCAAAAAGCAGTAATTCATGAAGGCTTAGATTCAACAACGCACAAATTGTTATTGGTCACATGCTACAATGAAGCTGGTATCATCCTGTGCATTCTATTAGACCTTCCAGAGTTCTAGGAACAGAACTTGTGGCCCCTCTATTCTTGCAGGTTCTTGTTTACACAGCTTTTTGGGTGGTCCTAATAAAGATTTTGCCCAACTGTGGAGTTCTTTCCTTGTAGACCAGCATGATTACTTTTGCTTTTTTATGTACCTTGAATAATACCCTATTTAGCCATTCAAGGAGGAAAGTGCAACCAAAGGAAGATGATTTTCTACTACCTAAAGAGGAATTTTGCATTTTGGCGCCTGTCCTCTAACCACTAGGTAAAACTTATTTGGCTTCAATTTGCTCTTACCTAGCACACCGCCCAAAATTAATATCTGGCTTTAATAATATAAATACTGTTATGCGTCACTTTACATCTGCTGTCTGATTTATCAGGAACCTGTGTGTTTTGCTTAAGGCATGAGACACATCTGATTTTCAAAGATGGGGATCAGCCATTGCTTCTTCATCTCATCCTAGGTGTAGCCCGATACCTGCAAGCACCTAGTAGAATCTAAACTGATCTGCAGTCTCCATTTTCAGACTGAGTCTGAAGTGCAGAACTCACTTCAACACTCAGTCTTTGCATTTTCTGCTTCTGTTTTCCTTGTCCCCTATACCTGCTTTGTGTAACATCCAGGCCAGAGACGGCTAATCAGTGGCCCTTCAGATGCTGAAAACCACAACTCCCAGCATCCCTAGCCACTGCATGCTACAAGCCTCAAGAGACATTTGCCCTGACATCAAAAGTAAAGATGATGCTTCCTTACTCTGAACTGGAGCTCATTTTCCTTTTAGGTATTTAAGAATGCTTTAAAGAAAAGAAAACAGTACCGCCTCTAGAATCAGCTGCCCAATATGGCTGCTTGAGGGCAAACCTCCCAAAAAGTCCAGTAATTAATTAGTACAAAGGGAAGATCTGTGGACTTGGAAGCCTAGAAAACAGGAGGTAGGTGGAAGTAAGAGCTGGCACTGAATTCTAGGTACTGAATTCAAATAACCAACCATGTGGCTTTAGTTAATGGATATTTACATATTAATCACTGTAAAGCCTATTTGATTTGAGGATACCTACCCTTTTGCTGCAGACCATCTGACAATGGTGTCCTTGTCTTTCAGTCCAATCAGCAATTGCTCTGGAAAAACATATGTTTTTGAAATATAAATCACAATAGGAAGCTAAAAGCATCCATAGGTCTATATTTTGTCACAGGCCTTTTCTAGATCAGGCTCCTTATCCGGGGGAAAATGAGTGGCCTTCATTCACCGCTTCACTAGTTCTAGCCACATCAAGAGATATCCTCAAACCCATCTCAGTGAAAGGTATTTGTGGTGCCTTCCTCCTGAGGGTGGCATTGGAAAGAAATAAAAGCTTTTTTTATCTTTGCTGAAGAGAATACAATGGACGGTGAGCAGACACCTTTTTACTCAAAAAAGTGAGGGGAAAATATATCTTTTTAAGAATGATAGAACATTCAAAACATTGTAAGAAGGCAGGAAAGGACGCACAACGCAGCACAAAGTGACGCTATCAGCAACCACCGACAGAAAAGGGAGGCAGAGAGAAAAGCAAAAGTCAAGAGCACCTACAAGAATTATAGCACTATTACCCCTTAAATGTTAAAAGAGACCTTGGCTTAAATCATTTACATTCTTGCTTTGCAGGTTAACCATAAGGAGGGAGATCCTTAGAAGCAAACAAAGAAACCACAGCTGTATTTAGTGAAGCCATCCCATCTGAAGAGATAAGCCTGCACAAAGTGATTTCCTCTCCCTCTTCTCTCCCTGTGTGCCCCCCACACCTTACCCAAATCTGTTCTGCAGGTTTCCCCCAGATTAGATTGGGGGGGGTGCAGGGAGAAAAAAAGAAAGGCCTGCTATATAGCCAGAAGTCCTTCCACTAATGGGATACAACCCCATGTTCACACTGGCTATGGTATCAGACCTTACACTGCTTCCCATTTTCATCAAACACACCTATAACATTTTCAACCTCTCCTGGGATGTCATATTCCTCCTCCTCCTCCTCCTCCTCCTTGACAGCCGTTGCATTTATTGCTTCCTGTGCAGCAGGACTACTTTCAGAAAACTGCAAATTTGCAGCTAAAGATCGGAAACCCCGTTGATACCTAGAAAGAGAAACTTGGAATAGTTATTATATTCCAAAAAGGTCAAAGAGTTTTCTCATACATTATATGTATCCCCTTCAAAAACATCAATGTAGTGTACTTCAAAAATGTAAGATATTAACTTTCAAATGCATTTCTCTTCTGTAGGGAATAGCACCTAGCAGCCACAACTTAAGGCTTCTTCAATGTTCCTCAGGGAAGTTGCCTGTGGTCAGTTGCTGCTTACTGTTGCATCACTTATTAAAATAATGAAACACTTTTAATAACAAAAACACTCATTTGTTTATTTCCAAAGGAATACAGCACATTAATTCAAGCAATGACTGCTCATATGCCTAATGGCATAAATATCAGGGGATTCGTACAAGCAATATCTAAACCATAACTTTTTTTTTTAAAATCCCTTTTGTGTCCTCATGAGATAAGTACTCATTTTGTTTATTAAGACTGTGAGAATCTCTCAGACCCCAAAATATATACTTTAGGCATACTCAACATCTAGGGTGTGCCCCATGGAATTTTTGATATTCGCCCCTTCAAATGGGAGTTTCAAAAAGGTTTCACACGTGGCAACAGATGGGTGAGAAAAGTTCGAATGTTACTACCTCTAGGCATAGAGAACTAGTGCACTTCTTTAGATCCAGCCATAGAAAATAAAGCTCTTCAACTCAAGTGTTTGAAGAAAACCTTATGTTACAGCAACACAAAATGCATTTAAGATGCCAAACTAGGATCTGGGTTTTGCAGTAAAAAGATCGCAATCTGCAACAATAAACACTTTTCTTAAGGTAACTCTTAAAGGTAAAATGTTCAGCTCCACTAAGGATAAAAAATGGACTGTATCATCAACAGTGATACCAGGACAAGGTACAACATGCTTTCTTGGACTGGTAGGACTGTAGCTGGGCTGCCAAGCAAATGCTTTGCATGCACAGGTGTCTCAGTATCAATCCCCAGTACAGTGGTGCCTCGCAAGACGAAAAGAATCCATTCCGTGATTCTTTTCTTCTAGCGGTTTTTTCGTCTTGCGAAGCAACCCCATTGGCGGCTAAGCGGATTAGCGCTATTAGCGATTTAGCGCTATTAGTGGCTTAGCGGGCTTAGCGGCTAAGCTGTTAAAATGCTATTAACAGCTTTAGCGGCTTTGAAAAAGGGGGGAAGCGGGGGGGGGGGAAATGGCGAGACTCGCAAGACGTTTTCGTCTTGCGAAGCAAGCCCATAGGGAACTTCGTCTTGCGAAGCGCCTCCGCGACGGAAAACCCTTTCGTCTTGCGGGTTTTTCGTCTTGCGAGGCATTCGTCTTGCGGGGCACCACTGTATGTCCTCGTAGGGCTAGTAAACATTCCCACCTGAAACACTGGAAACTGTTGCTAGACAGTATTGACAAAAGGAAATAGACAGCCTGGACTTCATTTGAAGGTGTTTCCTATGTCTGTTTCCAGCTAACACAACAGAAAAAGCTAAAAATAGTAACACATTAATGAAAAGAGATATAAAAGGGGAGGGAGCCCCCCCCAAGTAATAAGCAAAATGAAGAAAGCAATAATTGGTTGAGAATATAAATTTCCATGAGATTGTGACTTTTTAAATGCAAGCAAAGTGTGAATAAGACTGGAAATTCTGTAAACTGGTTGGATTACACTGCACACATCTAATTCCTAACTTTATTTTGTTTTGCTTTTGAAGGTGGGGGGCAGGAACACCATATCACCTTGGATTTTAGTGGACCTGAATTTATTCATGGAAAGGTTATTTAAATCCAGAACAAAATATGCAAAATACTGAACTGATAATGTAATACAAAAAAATACAAATATAACGTAATACAGGGAAGCAGTCGCTTCTATCTCTGGAATACCCATGTATATTTAAAACATAACTTCTGATCACCAAATGAACATGTGGTGATCTATTACTCATCCGCCCCTAACAATGAAAGATAGTTTTATAGTTCACCTTAGTCCAATAAAAGGAAGAGGCAAGTAAAAACATGAGTCTGAAAAGAACAAACCTCCACTTTGCCACCTTTGGCTTAAGAAATGTCAGGCCAAGTCGCTGAACAAGTTTCACTCCCAGCTTGCGAAGGAGTGTTTGGTTACTTTCAGAGAGCTTGCAGTTATCAAGGCAGTCAAGCACTGTAGAAGCTGCAGTGAAGAAACATCTCGTGAATAAATGTGACATACTTTTATTTTTTCATATTACTTTATCCATGATAGACACAAGGTTCTGGGAAGTTCTAACTCCAAGTCTAGCAAGACGTTTATCTATATTCCTTTAGAAAGCGTTAGTTACGATATTTACAGCTTTCAGTATACTAGTCACAACTCAGTGAGCATGCATGTGTGGTATAAACTCTATTGGCCCCAATTAGGATCATGCTGAAAGATTAATAAAATTCAAAGCATATTTTGAAGGAAAACATTTAGCTATAAACTTTAGGCAACCTGTAGTTTCAGAGGAGCAAATCCATACATTTTGTAGAAGGCTTAACTAACCTTCCCCTCCCTTTTTCTAAATGAGTGATTAATTCTGAAGGGAAATAATGTTGAGAAGTATTTGAGTTGTTCTCATTAAACAGTATCTTCCCTTTTTTAATCCTTAAACATACTGGGTGATCTCCAAAATCTTGCCACTCATACCACGGCACCTGCCTTTCCTCTCTACTTGCTGCACGCGCATGCACCCCCCCCCAATCTGTTCCAGAAGACATAGCAACCTTCCAAAACAGATTTGTGGGTGCACAGGAATGCAGGGAAGAGGAGAGGAAGGGCAAGTTGCATCTCACAAGTAGATGCCCATTCCACCGGTGGGCACTGGATTTCACCCATTGTTATAACTTTCCCTCAGGATAATTATTTCCAGTTTTATGCTACTGTTTTAGTTTGAAACAGGCATAGGCAAACTCGGCCCTCCAGATGTTTTGGGACTACAACTCCCATCATTCCTAGCTAACAGGATCAGTGGTCAGGGATGGTGGGAGTTGTAGTCCCAAAACATCTGGAGGGCCACGTTTGCCTATGCCTGGTTTAAAACCTTATTTTATATTTTTTGTTTTTGTTATTGTTTGTATGATACTGAATGTGGACCACCTTGAGAGGGCTTTTGAATAAACGTAAATATATTTTTGCCTATCTCTAGTTAGACGGATTTTTAAAATATATTTTATTATTACCAGAGATACATACTGGCTGTGTTGTGGATTTTGTTACAATGTGAATAGAAAAAAAGCACTTTCTTTACTATCTCTCTAGAATCCTTCCTAAATATAAGAGAATGAAAATATACTTGAGGCGAAGATGATACTACTAATAGCCAAAGGAAGAGGGGGGAAAGGCTGGTTATATTTGTCACCTGAAGCAATGCTTAACTATGTTAAAGAATGTCCCTAAGGCTACCATATTAATAGAAGAACCAGAAAACCTGCATAGCTCTGTAATTCAGTTAGCATTCTTCCAGAATACATAGTAAATATGCCGATTTTAAAAGGTGCTGTGGATCTCGTTCAGATATGAATATGGCTGCATATCCTAGCTTGCTTTGAAGCTGTTAATGACAGCTTTCTAATTCAGACAAAATGGAAAACTAAAATTTATGAAAGCTTTACTGGTTTGTTTGTCAGCTTGTGCAAAAAGGGCTCATTTTTATGTCAGTTTATTAAGCTGCGATACGATCATCTGAATTCAGCCACTATTTTCCTCTGTCCATATAAATACATTGATGCTTACGGCTACAAGTGTCAATCTATGTTACTGAGCAGTGATAAAATGTCACTGGTCAACAGAGGCACTCTTTCAGCAACTATCATACTCACATACATATGTTTTTGTAGGAATCAATGTAAGAGATGGACTAATATGTACAGAAAAATAAAGCAATTTAGGTATTGTAAGTCATGCCCAAATCCACTATAAAAGTGTAAAAAGTTGGGCACATTTCCACCAAAGGGTAGCACTTAAGTTCATTGACTTGGATTGGAAAACCATCAACAGAAGCCAACAGAAATTGACTTCCCTTCTTCCACACTCCTCCCAACAAAAGGCCCCCTAGAACAGCATAGGATGGGACATAGAAGCCTCATATTGGACAAAACTTGCCCGAACATGTTGCCTCTATCCACTTCTGGGAGTTTTTTTTCTTCCCAACAGCACCCCACACTCCATCCCATGTTGTTCAACAGGGGCCCACAACCTCCACCAAAGCTTTTGGGGACCCAGGGGGCTAACTTTCTTTCCAGTTCAGTTCTCAGAATCCAAGCAGATGCTTCAAAACTCTCGCTGTGAAACCAACAGGACTTAACAATGTTTTTGTTTTATTATGTATTTTGTGTTCTTATTTTTATGTTGCAAGCCGCCCTGCGATCTTCGGATAAATGAATAAAATAAACGAGTAACTTTGGCTGCCTTACGATCATTGTCATTCTCGTAACGGGAATTAAGATATTTATAATATTACGAAGTTTCTTACCATACGGCAAACAGTCTTCCCTTTTGCCGTGTTTAAAAAGTTGTGCCTGGAAAGTGAAAGAAAAAAATGTGTTACTAAAATGATGGAACAGGAAGAGACGATCCTAAAAGACAGGGTTTTTTGTTTGTTTTCTAAAGAATCAATTTTTCAGGCTTGATACAGAAGCTGTAAGTAGAATATAGTCTGGTTTGCACGGAACACCAAGCAAAACCATGTATTAGCACAAACGTGTGTTTCCAGAGATGAGAATATAGCCACTTCACTCCTCCCCTGGTCCTGGTCTTCTCACATTTCCAATGGCCAAACCATGGTTTGGCTTAGCATGTCTCCAAATCCAGGCTTTTGATCTGTCTTGCTTCAGATAAATCCCTGTTCCTATGGGACCTTGTTGCATTTTCAAAACATATCCTAAATTTGGGGAAATGCAAGATGTAAAGTAATCCTATAACCTAAGCAGCTTAGTTTGCTACAGATAAGAACTTCTATGCTGAAAGACTTTCTATCTTCTCCGTTCTTGCCTTAGCAATTTCTGGATGCGTAATCATACAGCCTAGCCAAAAGGAAACTGTCTAAACTGGTTTAGTCTCATATTTACCCACTCTCTACTTTGGCAGAGAGCTCTACCACCCTGCTAGTTCTGTAGGACTTAAAAGCCCTCATGGCTTTGCAAACCTCTATGATGCATCTTCACCACATAAGAAACGGATGGAGGGAGCAATACAAAAATATGCTCATTTGGAGTCCAACATACAGGCAACAAATGTTGACAGCTCTAGGATGCCAAAATGGGAATCACCATAAGAGAAGAAAAAACTAGACATGACCAAAATGTTTAAGATAGCAAAGAAAATATGAGAAGCAGAATCTTAACATTTTGATGGCTCTCGCTTGGGTTTTATTCTCTACTGCTCAGGGGCCAGATGCAATCTGAGTCTACAATATATTGTTATACATTGTTATGATTTAAGCAATTTCGCAATCTTCACCTGTTTTAGTCAGTAAACCTGTCATCAAATGTAAGCCTCAAGACTGTGAAGCTATGACACACAGATACTACACTTGATCTTAGCCAAAAGGCCGAGAAGCGATGCTATGACACACACTAGCCAATGTCCACCCAAACTGCACATTTCTGGCTACTCCCAGTGCTCTTGCACAACATGAATTAACCGAGAAACAAAATAATAATCATGGCTGCTATCTGGGATTTTGGACTGGTAGCAGGTTTAGTTTGTTTAACCAAATGCACTGAGGATACAGTCATTTGCAATGCAATCTAAACTAGCCTTAGAATGTATATCGAAAGAAAGAACTTTTCTCCTTCCCTAAGTTATTATATGTAAATATGTACATGAACGCGGGTGGCGCTTTGGGTAAAACCTCAGTGCCTAGGACTTGCCGATCGTATGGTCGGTGGTTCGAATCCCTGCGGCGGGGTGAGCTCCCGTTGTTCAGTCTCAGCTCCTGCCCACCTAGCAGTTCGAAAGCACTCTTAAGTGCAAGTAGATAAATAGGGACCACTTTATAGCGGAAAGGTAAACGGCGTTTCCATGTGCTGCGCTGGTGCTGGCTTGCCAGCTGCAGCTTCATCACGCTGGCCACGTGACCCGGAAGTGTCTTCGGACAGCGCCGGCTCACGGCCTCTAGAGTGAGATGAGCACGCAACCCTAGAGTCGGACACGACTGGCCCGTACGGGCAGGGGTACCTTTACCTTTACCTTTATGTACATGGAACAAGAGACACTTATATGTATGGATATCCTGAAATTTTATACTACTGCAAGTGAACACCACACTTTCCCCCCCTAGCAGTAGCACCCACCATCGAATCATACAAGTCACCATGGGTATGGCTCAATAGGACACAAAAACAAGCTCTATTGGAGCTGAGGAGAAAGCATTTCACAAGGGAAACTGTGCAAGTCAGTGTTGCAGTCTGAATGATAGTGTTGTATTTAATTATGAAAGTGTGGGCTGGATCGTGCCAGAAGTTTCTTAAACTAAAAGAGCAATGACTAAAGCAACCCAAAGAATATCCCTATGAGTTATTCATTTTTACCCATTCATTTAAACGTTCAGAGACTCCAGACTGGGTACTTTATTTTAGCCTATGTTTTGTCACTTCAGTAGGAAGGAAGCCTTCCAGATAAATATGGCCAGGAGTTAAAATTAAAGGAACATAGCCCAACCCTAGAAGTATTTCCTCCTATGGAACAACTATTTACAGACTTAAGTAATTTCAACTACAGTGCATATGCAACAAAAACTCCCCGAGGCTATGCACCTGCTTTGTTTTAGGTTTTAATGAACAGCATTTCATGATCTTAAAAGTAGCATTAATGAGCACTACATTGCAACGTACAGAAAACACCTTGAGGATTAGGATCAGTTTAAGGCTTTTAAATAAAAAGGATGCTAGTAGCAGAGGACTTTCAACAGACCTTGACACTTCCCTGCTAACAATGTTAAAAATGCCAGCTATATTTGTGCCAGAAAGAAGGGTCCCCCCCCCTAAAATCAGGAGCCTGTAATATATGTAATATTACTTAAATCTTTCGGAGCGCTAACTCAAGATCTTGACGGAGCTTTTAGAGAGATGTTCACATCATAAACATTGTTAAGCAATCACCAGACTATATAGGGATTTTCACTTGTGACATAAATCCATGAAAAGAGGTTAAACCAATAGGCTTGACTGCATAAAATATGCTATCATAGACATGATTCAGAATACCTTTTGGTTTGTCAGTGTACATAAACATAAGGCCTTGGCTGGCTGCAAGTCATTGTCAGGACTCTTCTTAAGTCTGGGATAGCTCACTCAGTAGACCATGAGACTCTCAATCTCAGAGCCGTGGCTTCGAGCCCCACATTGGGTGACAGCATTCAAGGGGATTGGACTAGATGACCCTCATTGTCCCTTCCAGCTCTACCATTCTATGATTCTAATCACCAGTTGGAATTAGTTCCACATTCCGTCAGTTAAGATGGCAATATGTACGCAGGACTCAAGGCCAGAACTAAAGTCCCCTAGGACCTCCCAACGTGTCCTTTCATTCCCAACACGAAGTGAATCAACTATAGGGCTATGAATCACATGCTGAAGTATCAACTTAACATGAGCCCAGTGTAGAATAGTTTATCAGAATAGACTTTTCGCATTGCAGGCTTACTCTCTCATTGAGATCATCAGTTAAGGCTAAAGAATATGTCCCCCTAACATCTGATCTGCACTTGGAACAGACACGGGAGAGGATCTTTTCTGTGGCCAAGCCTAGGTTCCCTGCTAAGGCAGCCTACTTTGCTCTCTGCAATAGTATTTTGCAGAAGCATAAAAAAAATAATATCCTTTTGAGAAGGCATTTCATTTGATTTTAATTTCTTCCCAAATGTTTTAGGACTCGCTTGTCTTTTTAGAGCCGTGGCTTCTCTGGAGGAAACTTTTACTGGCTAGGTGACTCACTCTCTCCCCTACCTCCACCTGTAACATGGGAGTAGTACTTCTCAAATTCATAGAGTTGTTATAAAGAAAAACCCAATAAAGTTCCTAAAGCACATACACAAAATAGTTGGTTATCTTTGACAATAACTACAGGAGTTCTATACTTAGTTACAATATGGATGTGTTTTAGAGTTTGGGTGAATAATGACAACACAATAGTACCTCGGGTTACAGATGCTTCAGGTTACAGACTCCGCTAACCCAGAAATAGTACCTTGGGTTAAGAACTTTGCTTCCGGATGAGAACAGAAATCACACGGCAGCAGCGGGAGGCCCCCATTAGCTAAAGTGGTACCTCAGGTTAAGAACAGTTTCAGGTTAAGAACGGACCTCCAGAACGAATTAAGTTCTTAACTCGAGGTACCACTGTAAAGCAGAGATGGGCAAAAATAGTCAGGGTGGAAAACCATCGCATGGGGATATACCTAGTTTATTTGCTTGTACGACCCTATCCAGGTGCATTCAAACTACATTCCACAGAGTTCAACAAGGCTTGGAACTCATTTTATAGCATAGATGAGAGAGAGGTGGTGCTTTCATATTGACTCTCTCCTGAAGCAACAAAAGGTGTGCAAAGGTCTCAGCTGAAGAAACCTATTTCTAATTAGGAAGCCAATAATATGTTTGCTTTGTCTTGTCTTCAGGAACTTTAAAAGGCCACAGCACATTATGTTAAAAGCAGGGGAAGGTGTCTATTATATGCCTTGGGCATTCCAAAGTTACACCACGTTCCTTCCATATTAATGGGGGCGCATAACATGTGCCAAACGAACCAGCCTGCTGAGAGGAATGCAGCTCTCTCCCTTTTAAATAATTACACCACCTACAAATTAAAGAAAACCATTGGCGTATCCTAGCGACAGAAGTGTCAGATCTGGTTTTGTTGCTTTTGAAATAACATGGTGCAAGGTACAAACAAGAACTAGTTTCTTAGTAATCAGGGTAAAACCTGACACACCTCCTAATTGTCTGCATAACCCACTTTGGTTTTGCCTTTGTAAGATGTAAGAATCAGCATTACCTCTGGGAAATCTTCCCCAAGCTATACAAATCATCACTATTTAAGACTGGCATGACTGCTTGGCAGCAGGTACATCTTGCTGCCAAACAGATGGGAATTTGCAGTTACCCTCTGGCTCCAGTAAACTATGAGCAATGGGCTGTGCCCAACCTTAAGGGAAGATTGAAGAGAGCACAGTCAATTGCTCTTCAGCACCCCTCACAGGTCAGACAAGCAATTCACTGTCTCTAGTCCCATTTGCCCACCACACATTACTAAAAGTGCAAGAGAGTATAACAGTTGAGGAATGATTTCAAGAGGAAATCACCTGGGTCAAGGAGGAGCCTATACCCAAATTAGGACAAGTTTCATATAAGCCACAGGAGGCATGCACCTGCCAATGCACTTAGGCTGACTACTACTGAATCCGGGGGTTCTCAGCTTTGGTTTTCTTACATGAAGGGAACTTCCCATTCCCTCCTTCACTCTGTAGCCCCCTGCACCACCTGAAAAATTTGTCCAAAGGACTGGGGGACCCCCATGA